AGAGCCTTGGTAGCTCACATGAAAGGCAATCTTGAGGCGTAGCGCTACGACGTCAGAGGGATAGATACAAGTGACAACACCCTAGGCGCATTGATCGACGATGCATCAACAATCAGCCCACCCCTGTTGGGTCGCGCTCGTTACAGCGTGGGAAACCCATGGCGGGAATGACCTAAGTCGAAAGTGACTTTCGCAACGCTGGTTGCCAAGACACTCAGCTTCGAATTAGGTTTTCAAAACTGAACATTCGAAAACCCTAGACAGTACTCTATACTAGCTGCTTTGAGATTGGCCTGCAGTTATAACCCTAAATGCTATGACCAACTGTTGGTTGTGATAAACCAGAGTGTTGCTGCATTTATCATTACGAGGGCATTGGCGGATGTCATATCACAACAACATAGAACCACAAAGCGTTACCCCTGTTCTCGTCGAATTGCTACAGATGTTTAATAACCAAATCACATCATAAACCAGGCGAGGAATGACTATGCATGTCGTCTAAGGTACTTCTAATTCTCGCTTGCGTGTTTGGTTGCATCATTCCCTCAAGCATGTTATAACAAGGCTACCATCAACATATGAGGCCATTCGGACATCATCGGAGGCGTTGCCGCTGCGCAGAACAGACGGCTATCGGAAATGGTGCAAGGATAGGCCGTAGAGGTTCGTCGTTGTAGACGGAAGTCCCCATGATATTCGCACGCGTGTTTGGTTGCATCATTCCCTCAAGCATGTTATAACAAGGCTACCATCACCATATGAGGCCATTCGGACATCGTCGGAGGCGTTGACGCTGCGCGGAACCGAGAGCTGATGCAAACGGTGCAGGGATAGGCTGCGGAGGTTCGTCGTTGTCGACAGAGGTCCTGACGGTTTTTGCACGAGCATGTGGTGGCATCATTCCATCAAGCATGCTATAACAAGGCCACCATCCTGGTACGAGGCTCTTCGGACAACGTCGAAGGCGTTGGCGCAGCGCGGAACAGAGCGCTGATGCAAACGGCGCAAGGATAGGCTGCGGAGGTTCGTCGTTGTCGACAGAGGTCCTGACGGTTTTCGCACGCGCCATCTGTTGCATCATTCCATCTATCATGTTATAAAAAGGCCACCATCAAGTTTTGAAGCCATTTGGACAACGTTTGGTTTTTGTTTAGCATCAAAATCCCACCGAAGGCAGATCTGCATAAAATTCACGCTTATCTTTCAAAACAATGCACGAAAGGCCTATCAAACCTTGTTAGAATGACTTGAAAATGGGAAGGGGACCTGTAATTAGTGTGATTGAGGCTGCCCACCAAGTTTCACACACTAATTCCAACGTTTGGTTTGTGTTTTGCATCAGAATCCCATCGCAGGTAGTTCTGCGGAATATTCAGGCCTATCTTTCAGTTCAAAGCATGAAAGGCCTATCAAACCTTGTTGGAATGACTTGAAAATGGGAGGGGGATCTGGAATTAGTGTGATGAGGTTTCCCACCAAGTTTCACACACTGATTCCAACGTTTGGTTTGTGTTTTGCATCAGAATCCCATCGCAGGTAGTTCTGCGGAATATTCAGGCCTATCTTTCATTTCAAAGCATGAAAGGCCTATCAAACCTTGTTGGAATGACTTGAAAATGGGAGGGGGATCTGGAATTAGTGTGATGAGGCTGCCCACCAAGTTTCACACACTGATTCCAACGTTTGGTTTGTGTTTTGCATCAGAATCCCATCGCAGGTAGTTCTGCGGAATATTCAGGCCTATCTTTCATATCAAAGCATGAAAGGCCTATCAAACCTTGTTGGAATGACTTGAAAATGGGAAGGGGATCTGGAATTAGTGTGACGAGGCTGCCCACCAAGTTTCACACACTAATTCCAACGTTTGGTTTGTGTTTGGCATCGGAATTCCATCGCAGGCAGTTCTGCGGAATATTCAGGCCTATCTTTCAGTTCAAAGCATGAAAGGCCTGTCAAACCTTGTTGGAATGACTTGAAAATGGGAGGGGGATCTGGAATTAGTGTGATGAGGTTTCCCACCAAGTTTCACACACTAATTCCAACGTTTGGTTTGTGTTTGGCATCGGAATTCCATCGCAGGAAGTTCTGCGGAATATTCAGGCCTATCTTTCAGTTCAAAGCATGAAAGGCCTGTCAAACCTTGTTGGAATGACTTGAAAATGGGAGGGGGATCTGGAATTAGTGTGATGAGGTTTCCCACCAAGTTTCACACACTGATTCCAACGTTTGGTTTGTGTTTTGCATCAGAATCCCATCGCAGGTAGTTCTGCGGAATATTCAGGCCTATCTTTCATTTCAAAGCATGAAAGGCCTATCAAACCTTGTTGGAATGACTTGGAAATAAGAGGGGGATCTGGAATTAGTGTGAAAAGGCTGCCCACCAAGTTTCACACACTAATTCCAACGTTTGGTTTGTGTTTTGCATCAGAATCCCATCGCAGGTAGTTCTGCGGAATATTCAGGCCTATCTTTCAGTTCAAAGCATGAAAGGCCTATCAAACCTTGTTGGAATGACTTGAAAATGGGAGGGGGATCTGGAATTAGTGTGATGAGGTTTCCCACCAAGTTTCACACACTGATTCCAACGTTTGGTTTGTGTTTTGCATCAGAATCCCATCGCAGGTAGTTCTGCGGAATATTCAGGCCTATCTTTCTGTTCAAAGCATGAAAGGCCTATCAAACCTTGTTGGAATGACTTGGAAATAAGAGGGGGATCTGGAATTAGTGTGATGAGGCTGCCCACCAAGTTTCACACACTAATTCCAACGTTTGGTTTGTGTTTTGCATCAGAATCCCATCGCAGGTAGTTCTGCAGAAACCATCGTCAAGCACCTATCTCTGGTTCTTGGATTGATCTGAAATTTGGTAGAGGATCTTCCAATGTTGGAATGATACGCCTCTTAAACAATCGGATCATTTGGACCACGGACAAAGGGTTTGCAAATCTTCAAGCGAAAGGAGGCGACTTTGACAAAAAATGAGGCAGGTTCTTGAGGCAACCAAACTCCAACAAGGCAGACAGGGAGCATAGTAGGTGATAAAAGTAACACATACTACATAACACACACAAAAAACGTGGTAGGAATTTACAACTATCCACGATTGCCGAAGAATGAGCTGTCAAGTGATAGGAGCTTCAATGGTTATGTTGATTTTGATGATTTTTACCCAAAACAACTTCAAGTTCTTAACTAGTAGAGGATGTCAAGGGATGAAGATTGAGCTATTAAACTGCTGATTTGGACCACAATTCAAGTGGATATGAGCACTCAAAGCTACCCCATAGGACGGGAATTTTTGCCAAAAAAAACCCCATATCTGTGTGTTTGGCAATTATTTCTGTTCTAGTTCTGTAGAGGGTACTGCAAGCTATCGCATGATGAAAGAAACCAACGAACTAGTATTTTTGCCAACACTTAGCCATTTTTGTGGCCTCCAATTCTGCATGTCTATGAACAAAATCTGAAATGAGATGACCGTGTAAGCTTGCAAAGTTGGAAAATTGACATTTGTTACATACGACCACTCTTCGCGACCACCTTGTGACGACGGTCGCTATCGGGGATGTACATGCTGTACGAGGCAAGTAAGGCTTGGATTACTCGGCTTGATGCCGCGTGTGGTGGTGTCAATGAACAGGTAAACAAGCAGAATTAGCTGGCATTGCTGTCATTCCGTGACAGCACTGTCAATCAACAGTCGAGCGACTCTCCCACAGTCGCAGGTCTGACAAAATGAAGTCCTGGGGTACTGTATAGGTTTGTATGTGCTGGCAGATTTGAAATCGTCGCGTTGTCATGTAGGACGCGCACGTCATATGTTATTGTGTGTTGGCTGATTTGGGATCGCTCCCTTGCTGGCAGGACGCCGACATTTTGTGTTACTGTGTGCTTTGTGCTACAGTTGAGTTACTGTACTTCAGCTGAGCAGTTGCGATGCCAGAATTCACTGCATTGATGTCCTTTGGTTACGTCACTGCGGATGAACAGTTCTTGCACTCTCCCACCATGCCATGTCAGTAGAAACGTGACTGTTTGCTGAGCTAGATGGGGTGGTACTGTTCGACACAAAATTTTCTGTTACAGCCATAGTGATCACGGGACTGAGCTTTCCCAGCTGAATGTCTACACTTCCGTAAATTTGCTCGACCTACTTTGCCCTGGTCGCGTCAACTTTGATTTTGGTAAAAACTGAACTTACAACGCAACAAAAATTTTAAACAGTGCTGCTAGTCGCTTTGTCTATGCTAACAGCGGTGGGTGCAAGGGTGGAGTATGGAAGAAGCCCCTTTGTCTTGAGTGTTGAATGACAGGTGGCAAAACTGCCATCGATTTTGTCGTCAAGCACAGTTCAGACGAACCACAGTCAGAGCTGTAGGCTGTACCGTTTTTGCCCTCGACAGAAATTCTAGTGAAATGTTTTGCCAGGCCAAAAGAAAGTGACGACAGCGGAAAAAAAAGATCGAAGAGAGGCATATTTCCGCCAGTTTGGGGGGTGGCCTCTACACGTGGAACCAGTCTGGGGGCGGAAATATTTTTGCTAGCGAGGAAAGACCATCCTCTTACTGTATGTGTGGGCGATGAAAGACAACAGAGATAACCAAGTGGGCCAGAAACTACACAAACCTGACTGACGTGATACGACAAAACGTACCTGTTGATAAATTTCCACACTTCAGCAACAAGTGAAGAAGTTTCAGGAAGATCCTGTCCTTCTCAAACAAGAATCACATGTCAATGCTGCCAGTCCTAATACTGTACAGTTGAGAGTGGCACTGTGAGACAAAATGGTCCGTCAGAAAATCACGTTCGTTGTGTTCTGGGGGCTGGACTCTGGAATCATTTCTGGATGTGTTCACTTGCGTGAGGTCCGCCAGTAGGTGTCGTGTCAAACAACACCACAAACCGTGGTGGAAAGAAGTTGTTACCACAAAGATGGAAAGTCATCCTACAGTTTCCAAACACGGCCTCAATCACATCCTTCCTCGCAGCTCGAGGATGCAACGTTGTGCTGTCCAGCAGCAAACAATGAGGTCAGGACTACAGGCACGTAGGGAAGCTGGAGCTCGCGTTACCTCTGCTGAGACAGCTCCAGTTCCAGGCACGTAGAGAACCTGAAGCTCGCGTTTACCTTAGCTGGGACAGCTCCAAGCACGTAGGGAACCTAAAGCTCACGTTACCTTTGCTGAGACAGCTCGAGTTCCAAGCACGTAGGGAACCTGACGCTCTCGTTACCTTTGCTGAGACAGCTCGGGTTAGGCTCCCTTGCATGCAGGCACGCTACCCGTGACTGCAGCTATGCCGTTTTCCACGGAACAAGGCACGGCGAAGCCCCAGTGACGATGTCCACTCAAACCGTGTCGCTGAGTAATGCATATAGTCACGGCCTACCTATCCTGCATCTCCGCTCTGAACGGGAAGTCACCAGTCATGCGGAATCGCGCTGCACGATTTCGTGATCGTATGGCGCGTCGTTGACTGGCTGGCAGCGCATGTACGCAGTGGCTTGAGCTGCTTTGGAACTTCACTGTGAGCTAAGGGATGGGGTGGATGTACATAACTGGAAGGGCAATGCCTTGCATTCTATCATCGAAACATTTAACTCTTTGTTTGGGAGCTGTGATCCCTCTCAATAGGCCAGTTCTACTCGTATTTTCGCATCGGGGATTACAGCATCGCCTAGTATCTTCCGGCATATAACCTGGTGGTCTTGTGGACGTCTCATGACAGGGTCCAAACCAAGCACAAGAGGGCGAGATGCGGTGGAAGAGGACAACCAAGGCGAGCATGTGGACAACTCTCGGGAGGGAGCCAACACTCTGAGAAAGTCTGGGCGGAAGAGGCGCAAGAGGGTGCGCATTGGGGAAGAAGAGTCTCAATCCGGTGAAGACGCACCAGAGCGTGATTCGGGCGATGGAGGAGAGACCACCGCGCGGGACTCTTCGACCTGGCATAATGAGACAACCGGGCTGGGAGCTTCAACTGATGAAGCTCATGGTTTAGAAAACGATGACGAGGGACCGGACGGCCCAAGCGACTCTGAGGACGAAGATGCTCGCGACGTGGAGGATGATGAGGAGGCTACGAACGAGGATGGTGACGAGGAAGATTCTGACGAGGATGCTAACGATGAGTACGGGGAGGAGGTTGATGACGAGGAACAGGAGGAGGATGAACAGGAGGAGGAAGATGAGGAGGAGGAAGTTGAGGAGGAAGATGAGGAGGAACAGGAGGAGGAACATGAGGAGGATGATGAGGAGGAGCAGGAGGAGGAACAGGAGGAGGAACACAAGGAGGAACATGAGGAGGAACATGAGGAGGAATGGGAGGAGGAACAGGAGAATCAGGGAGAACGGGAGGAGGAACAGCAGGAGAGAGGCGAGCATGAGTCTGAGGCAGAACATGGTAACAACGATGCCGAGTGCGACATGGATCCCAACAGCCGTGAAGAGGAGGCTGTGGCTGAGGAAAGGGCCAGACAAATGGGGCGGATGTTACCAATTTCAATGCTCGGCGGCAAGGTCGTAATGGCGGATGGACAAAAGTTGACGACGCACTCTGGAAAGGGTCCTGAGCAACCGAAAAAGAAAGAGACGAAGCATGCTGCTCGCTGTGAAAAGAAGGGGGGAGGTGCTGCGGCGGTTCAAGAGTTGGATAAGGGTGCAGTTCGAGAGGGGGGAGTGGTGAAAAAGTCGGGGGGGGGTGTGTTGGCCTGGTTGGATGACCCTAATGTGTCTGTGTTCTGCAAGGACAAGGGTGAGGGTACAATGACCCTTCATGTCCCGGGCAGGGAGGTGGGAAACAAGTGCGGGAAGGGAGCAAGAAAGGAAGGGAAGAACGAGAAGGGGGCGAACGGAGGTAAGGGAACATCTCAAAGACAAGAGGGAGGGGGGATGGGCGGAGTCAAGGCAGAGGGGATGGGAGGAGTGAAGGCAGAGGTGATGGGCGGAGTTAAGGCGGACGGGGTGGGCAGATGCAAGGCTGGGGGAATGAGCGGAGGCAAGGCAGAGGGAATGGGCGGAGGCAAGGGCGGGGAAATGGGCGGAGGCAGGGCAGGGGGGATGAGCACAAGCCAGGCAGGGGGGAGGTAGCAAGGCAGGGAGAACGGGCGGAAACAAGGCAGGTGGGAGGGGCGGAGGCAAGGCAGGGGGGGTGGGAGGTGGCTATGCAACGACATAACATAGTACCAGATCATCGTCCAATAGCCGATACTTAGTACCAGATCGTCGTTCATTCTCTTTCAGGCTTTACGTGGCTTATTGTTCTGTCATTCTCCTTCCAAACCCGTGTGACTCGGCTCTTCCAGTCTGCAGCACAACCGCGACACTTTAGTATCACGCTGTTGAGCTGTTCCTGCGAGCCAAGTACGCTCCCCTGAAGTTCCTCCGAGCTCGAAGGTATCGCGTTGTGTTTCACCAAGCTGCGTTTCACCAAGCTGCGTTTCACCAAGCTTTCAGACGGTTTCCAGCAGTTCCGGGCTCTAGGGATGACCACGCAGCTGCCAGTGGCGCCTCGCAGTCGCTGGGCGAAGGAGATGGTGAGAGAGCATGCCCCGGTGAAACGAAGACGCAGTGACAATTACTACAATGACTCCCACAGTGATGGTGTTGCCTGCAGCAATGCTCGTCACCGGCGCAGGATTTTTCGAGCTTGTGCTTCAAGTCCTGCAGCAGCAGCAAAACCCATGGCCATGCCAGCAGAACCCAGCGACAAGGCGGCAAGACAGGCCGCTGAAGCGGCAGACACGCCACTCACGCAGAGACAAGAAGCTGTCACTAGGAGCGATCCAGAGGAACGCAGCATGAGACCAAGTTGGGCCGACTACATCCGAAGCAAGGAGAGGCTTGGAATCACTGTGCTCTCTGCCAAGCCGCCTCAATCCCATGCCGCACCAAATTGCCGCACAGCTGAATCTGGCAATAACTACAGGGCTGCGTCGCTGAAGCAATGTGCATTTGATTTGATGGAGCAATGTGCACGCAAGCCAATGGAGGGACGAGCATGCTTTGACAAGCCACCTCCTTGTTCCCGAGAAGCCATCCCTGACCTGAACCTGCCTGCATCGTGTGAGGATCCTGCCTTGGCTGCACGCTGCCAGAGCGTCCGATTCTCGCACGGAGAATATTCTTCCAATGCTAGGCATGCCTACAGTGACCCTGGAGTACATATAACTGAATGTGGAGGCTCTGATCTGTGTGAGACGATCTTGAGCGGTCCAGGGTGGAACCAGCAGCGGCATCAGCAGCAGCAGGAGGAGGAGGAGCAGCAGCAGCAGCAGCAGGAGGAGCAGCAACCGCAGAAAAAGTATGTGGGTTGTGAAGGCCCAAGGTGCAAAGGCTGCGCGGATTTAGAGATAAGACGGATGTTGATACGAGAAATAAATATGTACAGGGTCATTTGGAAAAAATAGCCGAGCTTGCATAACAAGCAATGCTCAACTGCTTCGTTCATGTAATTATAAATGCTTTGTTTCACCCCTTGTTCTGTCACTTTTAGTTAAATTAATTATGTACTAAAGACTTCGCTGGAAAACGATAAACTCAGTACCGGGGAGATATTCCACTCCAAAGCAGATAACACAATACACCCGCCCGCGTGCAACGCAGAAAATGCTCGAATAGGCTGCCTGCTTACGTCTCATCTTCGGATCCATCTTTTTAGGGCGTGTAAAATCGGCGTGCATTTTAAAAAATGGGGTTTGGCCGGGTTTTTGTCGACCAAATGGTCGACACTTCTTTCGCACATGTCGACCTGATGGCCGAATTAGAGTCGACCAGTATTTGCAGGTCTGCAAATTTTACAACTTTGCAGGCCGAATTGCTGGCCGACTCCAGAAAACTTGTAAAATTTGCAAGTGCTACAGTAGGAACGTTTGTGCGACGGGGTCGCACATATGACGGCGAAGTCTCTGATTCGACAAGAGAAAATAATCTGTCGTTCTGCGAGACTGTGCGACGTCGCACGTGACAGTCGCTCACGGAGTCGACTACTTGGCCGAATTGGAGTCGACATGGTGTCGAATTCGAGTCGACTTTCAAAACGGCCATCAATTTCGTTTTTTTTTTTAGCGAAATTTGCGATGGTCGCGAGTGATGTAGAGGCGTGACCTCTAGTTAACAGGAACTCTAGGTTGTACTAAGCAGTAGAGCATTCTTGTAGCTTTCCAACGAGCCGTAGATCACCTCGAACGCCCAAGTATCGAGTGAGATATAGCTGTTTATGTGCTAGGTAGTGCCCTTAGACTCAAAGATAGGAGCTCTCTGGATTTTGGTCGAATTGCACTGTGTACAATGAACTCTGTTTTTCAGTATGAAACATGCATACAAGTCGAACACATTTATAGCAACTTGAATTTCTCGAATCGCACATGTAACATTCTAGGCACTACGAGGTGTATCGCGAACATTCGCGTAACAAATTCGAAGGGGTGAAATTCGGTACCCGAATTTCACCGAACCGAATTTCTCTTCAACCTCGAATCTTCCTGATGCTGCCATGTGGCATCACTTGAGTGGGTCTTCCAAAGTCAACCCACAACTTCACGAAACCTGCAATGAACACATTCGGAAGCAACACATTCGGTGGTTGGGGGCAAACCCCCCCCACACGCAACCTCCAACAGCGAGCGTCTTCGCGAAACTCGCAAGCGGGTTACTCTCGCCAATTCGGCCATTCGGCTTGTGGCCGAATTTTTAGGTGCAGCGATTTTACACGCCCTTAGGGTTACATCCGAGCCGCGATGCCCTCCTGCTTCCGCGCGCCTCGAGGGACGGGTTCGCCAGCGAAGCACCTCGAAAAAATTCTGCGTACGTCCAGCGAACCGGCTTAGAGTTTGCCTCCCCAATGTCTCGATGTAACGCCGTGAAGCAACCCGAATTTCCTCGCGTATCTCCAGCGAACCAGCTTAGTAGAGATCTGCTACCGCGCTGCGAACCTTTCTCCGCCGCGCATGCTGGCTAGCACTTCCGGATCCTATCAACCAGCAGGGCCGATTCAACCACGCGCAATGCTCGCCATAATTCGCACGGATAATTAACTTGCACAGTCACAGTCGCGGCAGTCTCAGCGGCATGATAGTCTCAGCGGCGCTATCCGCGCCATCCACGTATGGGAAGTCAGCAGCAGCACAATCGAACGTAGCGCACGAAAACGCTCAAATCTTACCCGTGACGGAGCCTCTTACCGCATCCGACGCGCACACGCGAACCCCACCCGCCGTTTCCGCGTGGCCCGCATTCTTCGCCGCGTTTTCCGGCGGGTGGGCGGGCGTCGACTTCTCCGTCGACTCTCAATGGGTGCCACGTGGCACTGACTCTCGAGACCGTGACTTTAACATATGTGAAGTCAGCGAGGGTGATTCAAACGAGGCGATTGGCAGCATGGCGAGGGTGTGACGTGTTTCCCCGCATCTTACTCCTGATATGAGGAGCAAGAGCGTTCGTGCACCTGTCGTTCTGCCCATCTTCCACTCCCGACCCACCCCCTTCCTCATCATCACCCTTCCCCCTTCCTCTCCCGTCAGCTCCAGTGTTCTCTTCAGCAACCGGTCACCCGCGCATGCACCTTCCCGTGGACCCTAAGTGTCCTTCTCCCCCCCCCTCCATCCCGTCAGCTCCAGTGTTCTCTTCAGCAATCAATCAGCCGCCCATTCAGCCATGCAGCCATGCAGCCATGCAGAGCTTCTTTCCCCTGTGCTTCCGCCTGTGCTTCCGCCTGTGCTTCTGCCCTCCAGTGCTCCCTTGCGCCCACCGTCCTTCCACTCTCCAACCCCCTTCTTTCTTTCTGCCCCCCCTCTCCTCGTCCCCTCCTTCCCCCCCCTCCCATCCACTCTCCCATCAGCTCCAGTGTTCTCTCATCAGCAACCGATCAGCCAATCATGCACTCTTGAAGAGCTTCCAGCACGTATTGCATGATGGCATGAAAGCTCTGGCGTGTGTGATGTAAGCTGAGCTGTGACTATGGTATTGACGATGCAAACGCCTACATCCATTTGTAGGCAATGAGCCGCGTGAATCAGCCGCGTGTGTGGCAATGAGCGTACTGTACCAGTATGTCCTGGCAGAGCAGAGTTTGCAGCAACTCGTTCTTACGGCACCGTATCACTATTATAAGGTCGCTTTAATGAAGCTGAAGTGGAGCATCGATCGACACGACACATTGATTGAAGGTCGTTTTCAAGAGCAATGCATAACCACTATCAGTGCCGCTCTGTCCGCGCCGCGCCATCGTAAGGCCTTTTCTGCTACCGTATTGAACAGCACACCAACAGACAAGCACACGCGGAATGGTGCTCTGTCCCCACCATCATACTGTAAAGCCTCTTGTCCTGTGCTTCAACACCAACACACAAGCCCCATCCAATGGCTTTCCATCCCTGGGCTGCAAGACTGCTGGAAAGGGTGTGTGTCACGTGTGCCAATCATTCAACCATATATACACCAGGGCTTGTACACTTCAATGGCACTAAATGCTCTATCTGTCTAAGCTAGGCAACAAACTCCAGAATCTCAACGTATTTGACAAAGCTCACGCGCTTGGGGCTCCTGCTAGGCGAGCGTGCTTCCAAGCTGCAAGCGGTGGGGGGAGCAGTGAGGCACGGCCTGACCCGCACTGGCTGGTAACTGCCCCCAGCCTCAGCCTCTGCCTGCCTGCTGGTGAGTGCACCGCTGGAGGTGAGAGCACCGCTGGAGGTGAGAGCACCGCTGGAGCTGCCAGGCGGAGTGCAAGGCAGCGGGGAGCGAGGCGAGGAAGGAGCACTGCAGCAGCTGTGTGTTTTTAGGGAAGGGGCAGCGGCAGGGGAAGTGGGAGAAACAGGGGTGCTGCTGGTGCAGGGACCTGCACTGACAGCACTGGCACTGTTCCCGGCCTGGCGTCCATGGGCATGGGGGACCATCCGCAGCAAGAGTGACCTCGCATATCTGCTGACCACACCTGACGCCGCCTGTGCTGCTGCCAATGGTGCCGCCTGTGCTGCTGCATTTGATGCTGTCTGTGCTGCTGCATTTGATGCTGTCTGTGCTGCTGCATTTGATGCTGTCTGTGCTGCTGCCTGAGACGCTCCTGAGATGTGCGGGGCCACCACGGTCGCAGGAGTTGAATACGCTCTACTCCTCCTGAAGACTTGAGGAGGCGTGGTACCCTCAGCACCATGATCTGCACGCTGCTTCCTCGCGGGGCTTGAGCTGGCAGGTCGTGCGGAGAAAGTTTTTGCTGATGCCCGAATTTCGAAGGCCGTGGTGGCAGCGGCCGTGTTGGCTTCAGACGAGGGGTTCCTGGAAAGCGCGAGCTGGTGGCGGCGGCGGCGGAACGCGCAGGTGGCGGGTTTGTCTCCGCGGGGAGGCGAGGGCAGCAAATGGCGCCTTCCGCTCACGTCCGCGGCGGAAAGCGCACGGCGGTGGGCAGACGCAGGCGCGTCCCCGCGGCGATGGGAAGGGGAGCTTCCGCGACTCGCGGAACTCCTCGGGGGAGCGGACGCGGAGGGTGTGGCGCAGGGAGGTTGCGCGGAGCAGGCAGAAAGCATCGTCGCACGAGAGGACGCAAACGGCGCAAACGACGTTGACGCGCCCGAACCGTAGTAAGAGTCCATCACGGACGGTTGTTGCTCTTCTGTCCACTGCGGCGGACTAGGATAGAGGTCGCGAAGCTTCGAGAGTGAATGACGCTGCGCCGTGGTTCGCGCAGATGTAGGGGAGTAGTAACGTTGGGTGTGGTTCGCCATTGCGTGATGTATCTCAGACGAGATGGCAGTACTGGAGGCTGTGGTAGGTGCGGTGCAGCGGTAAATAGTAGAACGAGGTAGTTCTGCTAGGGATAGGAGTCAGAAATGTAGAACAAGATGAATTGGAAGAAGCGGTATTCGCACGCTGCTTTATATGATGAGTCACTGAGGCCCCGACGAGTAAGAGTTCCCCTCCCTCCTCTCAAAAGGGTCTCCTTCTCTCGCTTCCATAACCACCACTGTGGTCCTGTCCGCCGAGCGATGCGCGCGACGCTCGCCATTGGACGAATGGTGACCAATGGGAGTGATGCGAACGTGGCGGTGACTCAGACCTGAAGGGGACGAGATACGCCGCCATAGCGGAGGACTTCAGGCTGAAGCTGATAAGGTGCTGCTTGATAGTTGACGAAATATAGATCTACGATTCCAAGTGGAAGACAAGAGAAACTCCCGCGAGCATCACCGCCTTCCACGCTAGATCTGGTGAGTCATAGAGATTTTGAGTATTTAGCACGTGAAGGGATCTAGCGGGAAATCTATTTGACGGAATTGTAGGGCGCAAGGTGAAGGAAATCTAATAGATAATACACAATTGTCGCATAAATCTCGCAGTAATCACGTGAAAGTAAGGAACTCGGAAATGCCAGCACTTGAGAACGAGTATTTAGCACGTGAAGGGAATCAAGAGCCAGATTACATACAGCTGGCCATACCACAGGCAACGTGCGACGGGCCACAGGCATCCCTGGTTTAAACCTGATTTGATAGGAAACTCACAACGTTTCACAAGGGCTGCATTCGGCGGCCGCATCAGAGCCTGATGCGCCCTAGGCTCGGCAAATTGACAAATTGAAAAATTGAGGCTCGGTAATGTCCAAATTGAAATTGGAAAATGGAGGTTCGGAAAATGGACACGCAGGTTCGGGAAATCGGAAATTGGGGATGTCGAATTTCGGGCATGTCAAATTTCGACCCCAAAATTCCGACGAATCCCAGGGTGTTGAGCTTTCATCGAAGTGGGGAAGAACGCACCTGGCGCCTTCCCCACATGCATGATGCGCTGTTCAATTGCCCCAATTCGAGCTGATGCGCGCATCATGCGTGTTTAGGGCGTTGCATCATGCGCGCATCAAGGATGCGTCAGATTGCTAGTACGCTGTATTTCCTGGAAAGCGGCGACATGCAAATTTGTGGTTGCCAAAAAGACCGTTCTGCAGGCATTCGGGCTTGGTCTGCCTCGGCAGCCAAGCGCTTATCACGAACCTTGATAGCCTTTCGGCTGGTTATCACGGAAGGCTCCTGGAACATCGAAAAAAATGTGCAATGTACATTGGTGCGGGCTAATGCGGCCGCCGAACGCAGCCCTGGGGGTCAAAAGATCAAGCTTGTGAAATTAGACCGTAAGGGAACGTAAATACCGAACTGAAAAGCGTAGAAACGCACTGCACATCCGTATTTGATTTTGAATCACAGATACTGAGCGAAAACGATGCGCATCGTGTAGCAGGTGTGGTGGGGGTTGAACTGAAAATCCCAAGGGTTTGGTGGGGATGTAGTGCGCGCGAGGATGAGCGTTTCGCCAAATGCGCCTAGGGTTTGGCGGGAGGAGAGGGGGAATGGGGGGGGGGGGGGGGGGGGGGGGGAGGGGCGGATTGCTCTGGATGGAGGGGTTTGAGGGGTTGTTGGTTTGGAGGGGGGGATATAATATTCGACATTGCCCGGTCTCCACAAGACAGTAATGCATATGAGCAACATATGATTTTGGAAACTCAAGAAAAAGAAACTAATAAACAAAAAAAGAAAACGAGAGAGGTGAGGAATATGCATGATGCAATTAAATTTTATTCAAGCACCCTGCACGTTTTTTTAATATGTATTAAAATGATTCCCAAGAATTACTATCGCAAGGGAAGGGAAACCCACTTCTTACGCTTTTCAATCCCATGCACTCATTATGTCATTCAGAAAATCAAGCTCGGAGTCTGTTATACTTGGGCTATGTGAACCTGTATTTCTAAATGACAGAAACTGCGAGTTGGTAGGAGTGTGGGGCTCCAAAGAAACTGTATTCTTGAGCAACACTGCTGAATTCATGGACTGCTGATGAGGAGGTGCAAGTGGTGATGCGTAGGAGAGCTGCATAGCTGGCTGAGATTGGGGCAGCGCGGGCGAAACCAGAGGCTGAAGAGCAGAGCACCTCTCTTCCTCTCTCCTCTGCGCTTCCATTGCCTGGGCCAGCAGCATCATCTCATACTGCTGTGTCGCCTCCAGCTGCTGCAGCAGAGAGTCCAGCGTGGAATGTGTGGGTGGCTGCTGAGCTGGCACACGGACATGCTGTGGTGGGTGCTGCTGAGCTGGCACATGAACTTGCTGTGCTGGTTGAATTTGAGGCAAAGGCACCCCCAGCTGCATCGCTGCCTGCAGTTCATGCTGCACCTGCTGAGGGCTGTTGAATCCAGGCAGCAATGGCCCAACCTGCCCTGCTTGCTCACCGCTCGAAAATTTCCTTCCCTTTCTCTCCTGCTCTTCAAGCTTCAGCAACAGCGTCTCGACCTGCTTTGACTGCTCAACCCACGGAGCCTCCATCGCCCGTCTCTCCTCCTCCGCCTCCATCTCCCGCAGCAAAGCCGCCAGCTGCCCGTCCAATGGTGTGACTGTAGGAGCTGACTGGTGTGACACGAGTGACTGGTGTGACTGTATGGGCATGGCCGCCTGCTCCCATGACCTCTTTCTTGTAGCAGCGCTGGCTCTGGCACCGGCGGCGGCAGGAGGAGGAGTGCAGGCACCATTGAGGCCAGAATGAATGCTTGCATTGCGGTTCTGAGGAGCGAGTGGTTCTGAGAGGCAAGTGGATGGGACGATGCAGGGTGAAGGGGCAGGGAGGGGCTGGGCCGAGTAGCTTCTGTGCATTGCTGCTGCCTGTGCTGGTGTGGCTTCAGCAAGAGTGGCAGGAGCAGCAGCAGGAGGAGGAGCAGCAGGAGGAGGAGCAGCAAGAGGAAAGACAGGAGTGGTCAGAGCAGAAACAGGAGCAGCAGCAGGGGCCGCAGCCACTGAATGTGTAGCGACAGGAGGCACAGGTGTGTTGAGCAAGACGGTAGCACCTAGAGCAGCCAGCGCAGCAACACACGCCGACACTTGGCCCGGCAGGGTAGGCACTTGGCTCGGCAGGGACGGCACATGGCTCGGCAGGGACGGCACATGGCTCGGCAGGGACGGCACATGGCTCGGCAAGGACGGCACATGGCTCGGCAGGGACGGCACATGGCTCGGCAGGGACGGCACATGGCTCGGCAGGGACGGCACATGGCTCGGCAGGGACGGCACATGTCTCGTCAGGCTTGGCAGATGGCCCGGCGGGGATGGCAACCCCTCTCCAGCAGCAGCAATGGGGCAAGCATCAACGACAGTGATGGCGCCGACTGCGCTGGCTGAAGCATGATCGAGCGTCTGTGCCCTCGCGCTGCCTCGTGAAAATGCATTGGGAGTGAAGCCGAGAGTCTGATCAGTCCTGTGTGCCCTCATGCTGTCTTGAGACGGCGGCAGCAGCCGCTGCAGCATCTGTGCTCTCATGTGCCCAGCAGAGACACCACCGCAGGTGCTGGTAGTGGTGGTATTAGCAGCAGGAGTTCTGGAACCGCACTCCACCGCAGTCAGAGGAGGGAAGCCCAAGCAGGTGCCAAGTGCAGGGTCAGCTGCGGAACTGAAGGGGCGTGCAGCCGAAAGGGGCACGGAGGTTCTGGAACCGCTCTCCACCGCAGTCAGAGCAGGGAAGCCCATGCAGGGGACGACTGCAGGTTTGGCTGGAAGACTGACGGGTGCCTGGGTGGGAGCCGCGAAGGGAAGGGAAGTCAAGCTGGTTACCACATCAGGTGCAGGCGACGCTACTGCGCCTGCCGCTGTGCTTTGATTGGTTGGCGGGGACAGCACGGGGGAAGTCTGGCGGCTGATCGCCGCCGCCTCACTCCCAGCAACGTTGCCGGCTGGGGGCGCCTGAGGTTGCGGGAAGTTGAGAGCAGCGGAAGGGCCGAGGAGCTTGAGAGCAGCGGAATCGTACGCCCGTGCAGCAGCTTCCGCCGTGCGGAAGGATCCGAGCCAGACGCGCGTTCTGAGGCGCGGGTGAGTGATCTCCGCCACCCAGGAGCCCCACTTGCGCTGGCGCACTCCGCGGAAGGTGTTGCGCGCGTTGTCCGGGCCCCCGCGCGGAGCGTCGTGCGGAAGACCCATCAGGCGCGACCAGCGTGGGCGGGACATGGTAACAGGGACTGCAGGGGGAGTGTAATCCGCGAGGGCTCCGAGCCGCGTCGCTGCGGAGATAACTTAAAGACTATGAATCCGATTCGAAGCGTCTTTGCAGCTGTGAGGGTTAACGGGGCAAGGGATTCTTCATCGGATGAACTGGCGGGAAAGGTCGCGTTGCTGGGGACTTGACGGGACTCGGGGTCGTGTTTATCGAAAGGGGTCTTTCAACTTGGAGTTATAGACGAGAGAAGGGCAAGCAGCTGCAGACGTGCGTTTTGAAAGACGAGATCGGGAGTGAATCGTGGCGAATGAATCTGGATGTAGCGACAAGCTGCCTTATACAAGTTGAAAGAAAGGCCGCCTACCATTCAGCCTGTCACCTCTCTCTCGCACACACTCCCTTCCCTCTCTCCCTCCACTCACTTCCACTCTCGCCCTCTTCTCTCCCTTCTCTCTCTCCTGTGGTGTTCTCCTCTCACTCTAATACTCGCCTTACAAGACTCCACTTCACTCTGCTGCTCCTCTCCCGTCCATCTGATTCAAGAGCTTCATCCCCCGATTCCTTAAACTCAACCGCCTTTTCCTCCTCTCTCGCCCCTGAAAGGCTGGGGGGAACTCGCTCGCGTGAGGTTCAGAAGCCGCGAGATTTGCGGTAGGTCGGATTTCGGAATCTAAGAAATGGGAACGAGCGAGCTGCAGTGCCGTCGTTGGAACAAGCGACAATTGCGTCACTCGCCGCCCGTGTCCCGACCATCGGCGTGCTAAATCGAAATAAGTTATCGAGGGTGCGCTGGAATGCTTTGGGCGGGCAGGCATCGGATAGAAGTGGCTTTGGTCTGGAGTCCTGATCGCGAATTCCATGGATTTCATGTATATTGATCGAAAGAAATGTTGGGTGAAGTGCGTTGCGTAGCGCTGGCTGTCGACCGCGATTCCTCCTTTCTTCCATCGACGAACGCTCGAATCAAACATTCAAGAAAATCTGGCAAGGCGGCGCAGCGATGGCAGCACGTGGTGAGTCAAGTCCGTCTGAAGGGCCAGCTGGAAAAATCTAGTAACTGCCCTACGTATTGTTGCTAGACACTGGCAGCATTCGTTTGAGGATTCCCCTTCGAGAATTGAGTGCCTCCTAATCTCCTAACAACTCCACGTCCAGGATCAGAGCGAATCTAGATGCGAAATGCACGAAGCCACTAACGAAGCAACGATAAAGGCGTAGAAGCAAGGGACGTCAAGGGTGCTTGCCTAGACGTGTACTCACGCAGGGTAGGCGACAAAAGTTTACCGAACGATCGTTATCTACACATCAGGTTTCGTTCTCGTGGTGTATCGGGGTGATCCCTCCCTACTAAGACAAGTTTCTTCCGCACCGCCATTTTAGAGCGGAAACGGCATCGCGCTGGAGGCCTTTCACGTCCCGCACGAGCAAACCCTAACACCAATTCGTCAAGAAATATTCTCAAGTTAGGAAATCCCGAGATTCTTCCTGACTGGGAAATGGAGGGCGAAGAAGGCAAACGGAGGAAATCTCGGGCAACTCCCAAGCAACAGCTGCAGACTCACTTACACACAAGTAGGTGTACAGTAGGCTTCAATCAGGTTGGGAGGCATGCCGAGATCATTACACCCTCATTCTCAGTCTACGCACAATTGGGAGCACTGGCTACAGTGCGTCTGATTGCTTGGACCCTAGCGATCTGGTGCTTGGAGCCGAACTCTAGGTAGGTGGCGGGCAAACGCACTCCCGGGGAACGGTAAACAACGGTATGTAAACTTACAGTTAGTTGTTCGTACGGTTAAGTACGGCAAATGTGCTTACAGCGTATGTTCTTGGACCATGTTGGACGCATTGATGTCATTACAGCTGGCATGTTCATGTGGCGATTGTGCACAGACTGAGAATGAGGGTGTACAGGCTTCAGCAAAATTTGTGCACAGAATCAGTGCATCTTTAGGGCGCGTGTCTTTTGCTGTAGAGGTTCGAAATTTCGGTTGAACTTTTGCTGGTAACCCTAATCGCGAATCTCGCTAAATGTTTCGCTTGTGCATCGTGTGTCCTAGTACAACATTGTAGATGACGAATGGGTTGAACTTTCGGTTGAAACTATGCATGCACAAAAATTCAATCGTGTGTCCTCTTGACAATGCACTAGGTAGTTGCGAATCTAGGCGACGGTCGTAGCACATTTCGTGCGCACGAACGACTTCGGAAAAAGGGTTACTTGTCGCCAAAACGCGTCAAAAACAGGGTAACCTACGTAGGTTAACCGCGACTCGGAAAAGTTCAACTTCGATTGTTGAACTTTCGCGTATCTTTTGGTTCTTGTGGGTTGAGGAGCAGCGACTCGGGCTACAGCAACCAATATTGTTGAGCCTAGGTCGACCTAGGTTCAACTGCGTTAGTTCAACTCAAAACTCGAGTTTTGCATAGATTTTACAAAAGACACGCGCCCTTAGATGTCACGTGTTCGAAGTTGACGATCGTCACGTCTCAATGGCTTCGCAAACGGATGGACCGTCAAATGTCATCCTGTCAACTTGACCAGAAACAGTGAATGTTCGTGTCGTCGTGACGACCGTCATCTTTTGATCTCCATCATATCGGAGCAGCGCTACGGCTAGCCAATGGCCAAGATGGTGGTGGTGGATTTGGTTTGGTGCTGATGCGAGCGCTGAAGTGAAGGGGCGTGTATAACAAGACCACCCCATTGGCGCAGCCTGAATCGAAGCGAAAGTATATTTCAACCCTACAAACTAAAGTACATCTGCAGCAAAAGCAAAGCTTTGATTGGGAAAGTAACGAACATTGAGCAGGTTTTTCTGAGGACTCAAGTGCATGCGGCAAATCGTGTAAATCTCATTCACCATTTGGTTGAAAAACTACTGCATTTTCCGTAAAATCTACTCAATCTCAGCTTCATCGTCGAATGAAAGCAGTGATCCCACCGCTTTCTGTGTTGTCCCCTGCCCTCCACTCGCCTTCTTTTTGGTTCTTCCCATTCTGCAGGACAAGAGACCAGTCAATGGCAGCATGAAATAAAGAGGGGATTTTGAGGGAACGTGACAGATGCGTTGGCGATACTGTGAGCAAGTGTGTGAGTAAAATGTAGTGATAAGCGTGTGGGCAACTGTGTAAGTACGCATGTGAACTGCGGTAGTGTGTTGCCGAACGTGTTGGCAAATATGTGAGCAACTGCACTGACACATGTGGTGTGGTGTGGTATGGTGTGGTGTGGTGGCACGAGGGGAGCAACGGTGGTCGACTGGTGATGTGACGCAAACAAGCAAGCACGTGAGAAATTGTTTGTGCAACTTCACTGGCACATGTGTTGGCAACAAACATGGTGAGCACCAGGAGAGCAGTCATGGTGAACAGGAGGTGTGAAGAAAGGAGGTAAAATCAACGGCATGCAACAATAAGGATTTTAAACTGAAGCTTCAGGAGGAGATTGAAAAATTAGAGATGTGTGTGTGCTGGGGAGCGATGCTTGTGTGGAGGGAGGGGAGAAGGAGGCAGGGCGGCAAGGGGAAGGGAAGAAGGGAAAGGGGAAGGGAGTCGGGAGGGTGCGTTGCCGAGGAGGAACGAGAGGACAGTGGCGGGGAGTGAGTTTCGTCTTTGTCCCGCCTTCCTTTTCCCGCCTTCCCCACGTTACAAATACCCCACTCACATGCCTACACACCCCACTCACATGCCTACACACCCACCATCCCCATGCATCAATGGTCATAATGCTTGTCTGTCCCAAACCCCATCCGTACTCGTCTCCTTGCCTATACCTCTTCCCTCTCACTAGCACAATCTTTCCTCTCCCCTCCCCCCCTCACCAGCGCATCTCCCCCCTCCCATCCACCCCCTTACGGGCACATATGCACCCTCCTTCACCCTCCTAACCAGGGAGCTTCTCCCCCTCCCCTCCTCCTTACCAGTGCATTTCCCCCTCTCCTCCTCCCTCCTTTTTATAGCACCCCCCCTTTCCCCCCCTTTTTTACCAGATCAACCCCCCTTCTCCACCCTTCCTTACTGGTGCATCTCCCCCATTCCCCTCCCCTTTCGTGCCGCCCTCTGTTGCTTTCCGCTTGTAAAATGTGTGCTTCCCACTCTTGGCCTCCTTCTCATCCTCCTGCTGCCGCCTCTGTTTACCTATTAACACACGTGCGCAACAGGTAAACAGAGCCATTACTTATATCATCATGTGCAACACATGGTGACCTTAAAGTTGAATCAATCACCGTAACAGCTTTCTGTTCTCAGCTTCCTAGAATTGACCACCTCCTCATCGGCAACAGACATTTTTGGAATCTGACTCCTAATTCACATGACACTCAAGTAAGCGTGGCTGTCATGTTTTGAGTAGGCTTAAAACATTCCCAGTATTGGCCGCTATCTCGTCGACAAAAAGGCACTTTTGGACCACTGATTTCTAATTGACGTGGCAGTCAGCTAATGTGACGATGCTCACCTGTTGCAGCCCCTGCTTGGATGCGGGTGCAAGGGGGGATGTATGCAATATGACCCCCTTTTCCTGCTTGCTTGCACACAGTGCTATGCTGAGCCCCTTCTTGTATGCTGCTGCTGCCTGCAGTGGGGAGCATGGTAAGGGGAGGGGGAGGAAGAGAGGGGTTTGGGAAGGTGGCACACAGTGCTATGCGGGTCACACTTGAGCCCCTTCTCGTATGCTGCTGCTGCCTGCAGGGAAGAGGAGCGAGGGTGAATTGGGAAAAAAAGGGGTGAGGTGGGGGGTGAGGTGGGGAGTGAGGTGGGGACTGAAAGAGCTGAAGGAGCTGCTGGAAGCCGCCTTCGAGCTACGCGAGATCTCGCCGGTGCAGAAGTACCTCGGGCTAGAGATCGTGCGCGACAGGTCGGCGGGGAAGCTGTGGCTGCACCAGCAGGGCTATGCCGACAAGCTGCGTAGGCGCTTCATCGACGAGGAGCAGGGCGGACGGACTCCGAAGACGCCGGTCTCGGTCAACGCCTACGCCGAACT